AAATGCCTGATCATCTCGCAGTTCACGTCCATGCTGAACATTGTTGAAACACCATTGAAAGCGGAAGGCTTCAATTTTGTGCGATTGGATGGCAAGATGACTCAGAGGAAGCGTGCTGAAGTGATAGAATTGTTTGATGAGCGCGGACCGGATTCTCCCACTGTCATGTTGCTGTCACTGAAAGCAGGAGGAGTCGGACTGAATCTTACAGCGGCTTCCAGAGTGTTCCTCCTTGATCCTGTAAGTTGAAACAATCGTATGACCTTTGCAGTTTTGTCGTAGAAAGTAAAGAGCAACTTAAGCTTTTCGAGGGCTCCTCCAACCTCCTTAAGCATCTTCTAACTCTTGGCGATTCTCCTCCCGACTAGGTTGCAATCACTTACTCCCCTATGTAAGCTGTCTCGTTGTATGTGGTTCCAAACGATCTTTTGAGCAGTTTTCAGTGGTCCGGAAATCATGGTTCTTAGATTTTGACTTGGTCATTAAGTACTCCAGTTTTTAGGGTTATCACGGGAATGCAATGGCCAGTTTCCCCTGTGAGACGCGCCTGCAGGGAATCATGGTAGTTGTATTCTTTAAAACAAATATCCAGTCCAACTGGAGATGATGAATACAACTATGTTTTCCCGCGCTTTGCCTCAGCTTCATGTAGTTACTTCGAGTTTTGATTGGTTCATTGGATTGTCTGCGTCCTTTGTCATTGGCTAGAGTGATTGCTTAGGCTTTGGTTTTGCGGCACTCAATTGAAAACCGCCCTATTGTTCGGTACGATATGAAGTGTGCTTTACTGGTTCTGTTTCGCAATTGGCCAGGTCTGAAAAACGGCCATGCAAAGCGGCGTAGTATGGTCTGTGTTCAAAATAAAAATTGAAGAACGGAGGGGGAGAGGGTACACCCCCACCAAAATGTCCCAGAGCTCTTCCCACCAATTCCTCTCGGCTTTGAGAGAGAAGTTTTCCACCACCTGAATCTTGGCCAAATTCTGTGGCTCGTTTTCTAGCAGTTACATCTTTATGTCCTGCAGGCGTGGAATCCTGCAGCTGAGGAACAGTGTTTTGACAGATGTCACAGACTGGGGCAGACCAAGAATGTTATCGTAACCAAGGTGAGTCACTCAGTGGCTTCCTACAGAGTAATACAGTACAGTCACATACTGCGTTCACACTAGCATCGAAACATATTTAGAAAAAAAAAATGTTTAAACGGAACAAGTTTCTCCTAAACATGTACGTTGTTCACATTATGTCTCCGGTTCAATGTCGTTTAATACCTTGGTACTGCACTTACAAACTGTCAAATCGGTTTTGTTATAAGTTTTTTGACGTTGTTATCCCAATGTTTTACCGTTACTTCGTACGTCCTATTTGCTGTCACTTGATGCTGTCTTTCTTGGCCAGCC